TCAGTAAGGGATGGGGACAGTGTGGAGGGAGCCACACCTGGCAGCCAGCCAAGAGTCATCATCCTTACCTTGTGTCTTGTCAAGTGGCCCTACGCTAGATCTCCCTTTTATAAAATAAACTTTGATTTTAGAATAGTTTAGACTTATAGAAAAACTGCAAAAATTATACGGAGAGTTCCTGTTTACCCTGTACCTGGTTTCCCCTGTTCTTAGGATCTGGAATTAGTATGATACATTTGATACAATGAGTGAATAAATCTTGATGCATTTTTATTATTCACTCAAGTTTATTCTTTATTCCAAGTTCCTCAGTGTTTTCCTAATATCCTTTGTTGTTGTTCCAGGATCCCATGTAGGACTCCATATTACATTTAATGGTCACATCCCCTTAGGCTCCTCTTGGCTATGAAGTTTCTCAGACACTATGACTTTGACAGTTTGGGGAGTACTTGTTAGGTAGTTTGTGGAATGTTCCTCAATTGGGATTTGTCTGATGTTTTCCTCATGATTATACTGCAGTTATGGGTTTTGGGGAGGAGGACCACAGAGGAAAGTGCCGTTCTCATTACATCATATCAAGGGTGCTGGTAAAGATAAAAGATATTCAGTGACACTTGTTACAGATGGGAAGGCAGACCCTCGTCAGGATCAGCTTGAGAGGTATAGGGACCATCGCGTTGGGGTTTTGCCATGGGGTAGAGGCATGCGGCCTGCTGGCCACGAGTTTGACATGCTTGAGGGATTGGCTTCCACTCCAGATACAACATGGAAATGTGGTTCTTATAGCCCCCACTATAAGGAGCAAGGTGAAAGTCAGTAGATGGAAAATTCAGAAGGAACATCAGGGATAAGGGATAGTCTAGCTCCGTGGTCGGCAAACTGCGGCTTGCAAGCCATATGTGGCTCTTTGGCCCCTTGAGTGTGGCTCTTCCTAAGCCTTAGGACAGTGATGGCGAACCTATGACACACGTGTCAGAGGTGACACGCGAACTCATTTTTTTGGTTGATTTTTCTTTGTTAAATGGCATTTAAATATATAAAATAAATATCAAAAATATAAATCTTTGTTTTACTATGGTTGCAAATATCAAAAAAATTTCTATATGTGACACGGCACCAGAGTTAAGTTAGGGTTTTTCAAAATGCTGACACGCCGAGCTCAAAAGGTTCGCCACCACTGGCCTAGGAGAAGGTTCAGGAACCTGACTAAAGTTCCATCAGGCAGACTCTTTGTGAGTGCGTACCTGCTATCAATGTGATTTGTCAACAACAGGTTGATGTTGATCTTGGTCACCTGGCTGAGGTGTGTCTGCCAGGTTTCTCTCCCCTCCTGCCTTTCCATGTTCTCCTCTCTGGAGGGAACCCACAAGTTAAGGGGTGCACTGCTGTGCTCCACCTGCTTGAGAGTGGAGCGCCTGCATAAATTATTTGGAACTTTTCTGCCCAGAAACTTGTTTATTGTATGAGGCACTTTTTATACAACACATTATCTCTTATAATTTTCACAAGTGTGAGATTGATATTATCTCTTATTTTCCAGACGTAGAAACAGGGACTCAGTGAAGTTGATTCCCCTTCCCAGGGTCACTCAGATTTTAAGTGGTGGGCTGGGGACTTGAACTTGAGTGTTCTCAGAGCCAACTCTCTCAAGTGCTAAAGTCTCTACACTGTTGTTTAATCACCCCGCTAAAGGTATTTCACATGGACCTATTCCTTGGGTCAGCTGTGCCTTTCTCTTAGGGAAGGTAAGCATCATTGGGGGAAAGGTGTTCTTGGGGTCTGCATGGTGAGTCCACCCTTTAAAAGGGCTTTCTCTGAGGACTTGAGGGAATCCTATAAATTCTATTCTAAGTTGGACTAGGCTCAAACTAGATTTCAATATGGTACAAGTTTGGGTTTGTTATACAAGGAAGGCTGTGTTCTATCTATTTTTCTCTCTGAAAAAGGGAACCTCCCTTTGGTTAATCGGCATGGTTTTTTAAAAAAAATGTTGATATCTACACATTTTTAGAGGCATTGGCGTCCACCCTGATCTTATTGAATGAGGTCATCTGTGTGCTAAGAGGTACTATTCTGCTACTCTGGGAAAGTCAGTGGGGAGCCAGGAGTGATTTCACGGGTTGTTGAAAGCTTACGCTTGTAGTCAGAATGAGTTGGCCCTGTGTTGGTTTTTCTGAGCCCAACATAATATGCAGAACAGATCTGTATAATGGGCTGTTTGCTTTGTGGATTTTCAATTTTCCTCTCTCTGCCTGTTCAAAGTATTTAGAATATGTCAGGGCAAAGGGCATCATGCTGAAAATTGTGACAGATACGCTCTTTCACGGCTTTAAAGAAATGGCTCGAAACAAATTGCAGTTGGTTTCACTAGGACCCTGGCTAAATCTGACTGGCAGGTGCTGCAGA